TCCACACGAACATAAATCATCCCACAAAAAGCAACAAAAACACACCTCACGACCCAAACACTTCGGAAGACTATTTACAATTAAACTTTCAACACTACTTAGAAATTGACTCTCACACTTTTAATACTCCAAATCTCCATATTTCCCCAGACTGCCTCTTAAACGAACGTCACAAAAACATTCTTATCCCAATCAAAAAATACCCTTTTCAAACAAGCAATTTCCGCTTGTTCTCAAGTGGACCCATTTTTAAGTAAACCCAAAACACTTTACGAAACTGATTTATTAGTTTCAGATAAGAAACAAAATATTATATTTGGCTGTTCGAGACCCACTCACTTCGATCTTTGGGATTCTGAGAGCTATTTTAAAGTATTACTCGCTTGTCTACACAACCATAAATTAAAATCACTTTACGTTCTGGACTTAAAAAATGACCCCACTTGTAAACTTAAAGGAAACGAACAATTACACATAACAGCTTATTTAGCCGACCTTTACGAATGCAAGATCACCATATGTGAAAATAAAGTTAAAACTCCAGCTCCAGAAGAGATAGAATCAATCCTTAAAACCTTCCATGATGATCCCTTATCAGGACATCGTGGCATTACCGAAACGACACACAAAATACGATCTGAATATTTCTGGAAAGGAATGACCGACACTATTAAAAATTATATATGTAGATAATTGCCAAGTATGTCAACGAAACAAAATTCAACGTAAGACATATAAAGCTCCCATGGTTATTACTTCTTCTTCCACTGAACCTTTTGAACGCGTAACTATTGACTTAGTCTCTTACTCAGATATAACTAACGACTTTAATAAATACATACTCACACTACAAGATGACGACTCGTTTTGTTCAAGCATACCCTATTCAAGATAAACAAGCAACAACAGTAGCCAAATCTCTTCTAATTTTCTGTCAACATTACGGCGTACCTAAACGTTTCCATTCCGATCAAGGTACAGAATTTCTAAATAGCGTAATCAAACAATTGATGAAATTACTAGGATCCACTCACACAGTTAGTACCGCATATCACCCTCAGACTAACGGTTCTTTAGAACGATTCCACGCAACATTACGCGACCACATCCGAATGTACCACAAACGTAACCAATCTAATTGGGATCAAATCATACCATTTGCCGTTATGTGCCATAACACATCAATAAATCAATCCACGAAATTCACACCACACGAATTACTCTTTGGCTACAAACCGCGTTCCCTTTATTCTCTAAAAGCTAATGACGACTATACAACTCATGACTACCTAAGAGATTTAAACGAAAGACTCAAGGTATCCCGTGACATAGCTAGCCAAAATGTTGAATCAATGAAAGAAAAGGCAAAAGAGCGATACGACAGTAATATTAGAAATATAGCCAAATTTAACGTAGGTGATAAAGTTATGCTCAAAGTCCCAAGTCCAAACAACTAAATAGCCTTTGGGACGGCCCTCATGTTATTGTTAGAATAGGTTTTAATGAAAATTATGTTATACAAAAATCTGGAAAAAACCAATTAGTACATGCGAATAGTTTAAGACCATTGCATGACTTCACTCTATCATCATAACATTTACTCTAAGACTAGATCGTAATTATTCATAAATATTTAACTTTATTTCTATTGCAGGGTGGCTCAAATAATGGCACACCCTAATCCCTTAAGCAATAAGACCCTTAGTTTAAATGAAAATCTTTTATATTTTATAAACAACCCATATATTAATTTTACAATTTGTTCTATTTTTAAATTATTACTTTACATCATTTTATACAAAGTTTACTTATTTTCTAAGAATTATTATATAACTAAATTTAAAGGAAATCAAAACAATTAACAAGGATCATTTTAATTTTCAGGTACTCCACAACTTTTGTTGATGGGGATACCCACATAAATCCCATTCCCTCTAATTCTGGACTCTATTTCGAAAACAATGATGATATACTAATATCTGAAAATTCATGGAAACTTATCATATATCGTAACTTTGAACCTTTATTCCTAGCTCGCAACTCTATCAAAAGATTCGTAAATAACTACCAATCTCTTATCGCTACACATTCAAATTTACCCACCGTTATCACTACTACTTCATTTATAAAAATAAACGTAGACAGAATAGACTCTAGGCTCGATGAACTTAATTCTTACACTGATAACAAGCGATCCAAACGTGAAATGCTAGACGGCTTAGGTTCAGTTTTGAAATGGATCATTGGTGTTCCAGACGCAAAAGATGCTAAACATTATAACGAATGCATTGAACAGCTAGAGAAACAACAAATATCTACTAATGATATTCTAAAACAGCAATTACAAATTATTTCTTCAACAATCACAAATTTTAATGAAACAGTACATAAAATCTCTTATGATGAATATGTTATTAATGAAGATATTAACAAAATAAATTCATATTTCGCCTCCACAAACAAACTTATATTTAATTTAACTATCCTTGAAGAAATATCGACCGTTTCAATTCAAATTCTTGAAGCTATAGTTTCTTTAGAACGAGATATTGACGATGTCACCACAAGTATACTTTTTATTAAATCGAATGCAATACACCCGTCAATAATATCAACTATGCGCCTATACAAAGAATTACTGTCTTCTAATCCCGCTAGGCTCAACAAAAACTTAGTTGCCCCAATAACATTACCTAATATACACAAAATTCTCGAATCTGCCTCTATTACTTCCTATATTTATATGAATAAAATTATATATATCTTAGAATTCCCTTTAGTTAAAAACGAAAAATTTATATTCTATCCCTATGCTACATCCTGACTCCTCCTTATATTCCACTATCCTTCCCGAACAAACATACCTTGCCATGAGTACCACTAGACAGCAATACGTCGTTATGAGCTCACTGGACAAATGCAAAAACTTTGCAACGGAATCCAAAGTCTGCAGAGATCTTCTCATCTACAACATCAACACCAGACCTATATGCGAAGTTGTCATCCTAACAACAACGAGTCGACAAGTTCCTGAAGTTTGTGATATCACTACATTTTCGGCACATATCAACACTTTTCAAGCTCTTAGGAACAACAACTGGATCTACATACTCCAACGCAAGACTCCGTATGCTTTAGAATGCGAAAGCCAAACAACTCACGGCGAAATCTCTGGAACGGGTATCATCACTCTAGAACAAGGATGTAAAATGTACACCGCGTTTGTTACACTCCTAGCTGAGGACACTAAAACGACCAACATCAGTCATCCTTTTACTTCTGTGGATATTGAACACATTTGCCTCCCAGAAGAAATTAAACTACAACAACCAGAACTTGCACCAATCCAGCTCAACAACATCCAACTCGACTCTCTTAACTCAGTTAGAGACCAAATAAAAATACATTCAAAATTATTTAAAGAAAATAAATCTATATTCTCAGAAAAACATGCAACAAAATTTTCCATATTTGGTATGATTACTGGCATCATTATGCTAACATATTTTTGTTACAAATGTTACAAGTGCTTGCCATGGAATAACATGCCCATAAACCCACATGGCAACTGTGTATAAATTTTTAATAACTGCTTTGACCGTTCTCGTCGCCAACAACACGTCGAAGTTCCCTTGTCATCGTTAAACACCACTGCTACAACATCCTGCATATCAGAAGACGAAGACGAAGCTGCTGACTACATTCAAAAATCGTGCAAAACCGCTCAATCTTTGTTCTAAGGGGGGAGGTGTTATGTTATAGGTTCTATTATTGTGTTATATACTATTTACTTTACATTATAAGTCCTCTATACTCCTATATTGTTATTCTTATATTACTTATTTACTTTAAAACTAAATTACATTGTTTACCTAGAAACCAAACTAATTAGATTGTAATATTTAAATACTAATGTTTATTGTTCCAAAGTTTACCATTCTTAATTGTATCTTAGAATAAGTTAACGATAAATACAAACAAGCATAATGTTATTCCCTTATCTTTACCCCTACCTCCTAGCTTCCCACGATCCTACACTATATAAACCAAGTCCTTCGATCTCACAACGCCCTTTTCTGTCGTCGAGCTGCGAACGCACCTTGGTACGTCCGTAATGCTGACCTTCATCGGGACCTAGAGCTCCCCACAATCCAACAATTTCTCCAAAAACTCTCTGAGAACTTCTTCAAAGCCTCAGAGTCGCACTCAAATCATTTAATTCGTGAGGCAGCTACTTATGCAGCCCCACCCCCCTCTCGCTATCGAGTCCGCAGGCCGAGAAACTCTCTCTCGGACCCGCCTAATAAACTAACTAACGACCTGAACTGCCTCCTGGCGGCTCAGGCTAACTCTAATTAAATTAAATTATTACTCACTCATAATTAATTTGCCTTCGTAGGCACTCCCTCAGCGGCTCGTAGCCGCCTGCGCCCTCTTTTCCCAAAAGAGGGTCGCTCACGATAAGGCACAATAAAGCTTAATCAGCCAGTTGCTTGTCCCTAAAGGCGGTTTTTAGAGGGTATCACTTAGGTCCCCGGTAGGATGTGAGTCCCTCATAACCACGATAGACCGGCTATCGTGGTATGCGTAATGCATTTTCCGCCTCCCTACGTATAGGGTAGCCCTTTATTTGCTTCGGGCGCAAAAAAAAAATATCTCACAACACAATTCTATTTCCAAACTCTCTGACTCTACATCTATATTTTAAGTTAGTTTATATTATAGTTAAATATATTAAATAAATTTATTTTTAAAAGAGTTTTTGTATCTGCCACATAACAGGCCAACTGGAGACACTGGCATAGTATAAAGAGAGGGGAAGTACGTTATCTTCATACAAACGCACTGCGCGCGGCTTGTATGTGTGCGCCATAGTATCTATGAGGCGCCGCACGCACACTTAAACACAATCTCGAAGTGTTTCTCAGCGCGCCAGTCGGGGCTAACACCGCACTAGGTTCGCGCGTCACGGCTTTTCGGCACCGCTAAATAAATGAAAAATGTGTGATAATCGCAGGAGAACGTATTGCTGTGTGTTTGTGTGTCTTAATAATTCATCGATTCCAGAATTGTCTCTGTTCAGATTACCTATTGAACAGGACAGGTAAGCGAGTCACTTATTATAGCATATAATTTTTATTTGACGATGAGATACCTACTTACTTATTTTTGTTGTATTAGTTTTCTATCAGACAGAGGAAGAATAGTAACTAAGTACCTACTTACGGTTATAAAATCGTAATTAAAAATAAGTAATTGACTAATTGTGAATCAGATAAATAGAGCAAAGTTCGAATAATAACAACAGAACAAAAAATTGATTACAGTCTAAGAGGCAGGCGTTAGTAATTTTATGTTATTGTACGATGTTTTTTTTTACAATATTTTAGTCGCTTTATTAAATTTTTTTATTATAGATGCCTAATGTATATTAAATTTGCTTTCCATTTCAGACGCCTTCAGTGGCTGCATTTAATTGACCGCGAGTATTTGAAAAATAAATCTCAACCATACCATGTTGTTTGTGAAGCCCATTTCCACCCAGAAGACATAATGAAAAACAGCGTTAGAAAATTACTAAAAAAAATTGTCTGCCGAGTTTAAATTTGCCTAATCTGAAAAAAGTTGACAAACATACACAAGTGGAAATAACAACTTCATATAATAAGTCAAGTCAAACAGAAACAACTAGTGCTTCAGGATCAAATTTAGATTTAACTATTGCCACTTCATCATGCCAAACGGATTTTAACACCACGGATAACCTAACATAAACTACTGCTGGTCTTTCTGCAAGTATTCCACGTAAGAGGAAACTAAAATCTGCGTTATTAGACTGTAAAAAGCGTTTACGAGCAAATGAATTGGCAAATACTTCACAAGATATGTTTAATAAATTATGTGATCGTTTTTTATCTAAGGACTTAGCCGAACTTGTTAAAAGTATTTTTCTGTAGCTAATTTGTAATTTTGTAATAAATGTGTGATTCAATATATATATGCTTGTATTAATTAAAAATAAAAATTAATATGGTCCTTTATGTGTACAAATACTATATTATGCCTATTAAAAATAAAAAGTAACTAGTATATACTAAGTAAATAATTTAAACGCGAGTTCTTAGTATATAATTATTTGTTAGCACTTTGGGCGACAACCGAATCTGACAAAGCGTGGACAGTCGGGCCCACACCGCCCCGCCGGTTTATTTTATCCCTTTTTTTATAAATAATACTGCTCTGAATCTTAATACATTTCTGTATTTGTTAGGAAAACCATTGTTGAACTTTATCGACCAATGATCACTGAATTAGTTATACAGAGATGTATTATCTTTGGCAAGGGCCGGGCTTTAAACTAATGATTTGGTGACAGTGACAACCCTGAGACAGTAGGCAATTATATCGCGGATTGGGCCGGAGATAACCTACTTGGCCTCTTTATACTATGACACTGGGTTCCGATACATTTTTAACTACTGGGCATATCTCCTTATTTCTTATATCTATGTATATCGGATACGCGTGTCTTCACGGGTGATTCCGGAGTAATTTCTCCGGTTGTCGAGGGGACTCGGTTGCGTGAAGTTCCTGTGTGTGATTTTACACCCAACTGCGCTGGCAGTACTGTCAATCTTTGTTTTTGAAGCCATACCTAAATGTCCCCAACTTAAAAAACAAGGAAAAAAAGGTATGTATCGTATAAATTATTGCAAAAGCTCAACAGTTCAGTGCGTTTTCTAATTGAAGAGACAGCCCTCAAGATGCAACACTATGCGCCCGCTATGACAATCGGTTCAGAAGTTATAGACGTTTAAAGATTTTCAAAATGGCCGCACAAGATGGCGACTGATAGTTCAGGACTTTATAACTTCCGTTTCCACCGCCGCAGAAATCTCGTGTTTGGGTTCTATAAAGTGGGATAAGTATGATCTTACTTTCTAGAGTGGTTTTCATCTTTAAAATTTGACTCTATGTAGAGTAATGATTAAAATATTATATTTACGCGAATAATACACATTTAAATAATACTAGTTTTTACGGATTATATCGCGTATTATAACTTGCTAGAACTATATTGTACTTGCTAGAACCATATTTCACACAATACAAGATTATTAACAGTTACATCTTTATACATATTATTATCATCTAAATTAGTAAGAAAATATGTAGATATATTTCAAAAAGCTGGTGATAATAATATAAATGGACATAATATACAACTTAGGAAGAGAAAGAAATTAATATTGCCTAAAACCACTTTTCATAATTCATAATTATTTATTTGCATAGAATGTAGGTAGATATTACAAGAGTATTATTAAAAAATAAAAGTTCCTATACATTCTGCCTTATCGATGCGTGCAAATTTTGACTAAATAGATAAAACAATTATTTTTAATTATAGACGAATTTAACTTATTAATATAATGTAAAAATGTCCAGTTGATAATAAAATAAATGTCAAAAGATTAATTATACTAAAAACAATGTCACTCAATCGTTCACAAATGTCAAAATATAAAGGTTCATATGTAAAAACAGTAAAAACAACTAACTAATAATTATTCTATAACTATCAAAGTCCTTTATAAACTCAGCAAAAAATTCAAGCATTTTTAGATACAGATATTTAAATATGTAATTTGTTTTGATTTTCGTGTTCAAGATACTCATAACAGTATAGAAACAATTAAGTAAAAGCCATTCATGAAGTTTTTTTGTCTTTGTTTTTTTTTCTTTATCTATGTTCTGATTCCATATTTCATGGCAGTTAAACTAAGTATATAATAAATACATTACCCAAAGATATAATGGAGATAGAAGAAAAGATAATATAATAGAGTTAGAAAAAATATATAAATATTAGTATTAGAATTAAGATATTAGAGCTAGCCAGCTTTATTTCATGTTGTTATACCATTGCTGAGTGCATGTGCCTTAATGTATCACAAAAAGCAACAAGAAAGTGCAATAAATAAATAACTAAAGCTAGTTATTGTACATATAGTATTTCATATATACTTGCTGGTGCTCCAACAAACGGGCAGTATCGTCGGGATTCCACTGTTCATCTGATGTTGTGGTGGACACAATCTGACCACATACGAGTACATCACATGTTAAAAGAGAATGATCACGTTCCACATGATCAGGTGAAGGGGTTGTATATGTTCTACTGGTGGAGCACTCCTAGTTCTTCTGGCTCTTAGCCAACATGACACACAAGCTTCATCTTCAGAACAAAGCTAAAACAAAAAATATAAAATAAAGAAATGCTTGTATTTAAACAAAATAAGTAGTTATAGTATGTATACCTGTCGTGAGTGGATCCAATTAGAAATTGTATTAGCCATTCTTGGTTCTTCTTCATTTGCCTCTTCAATAAATATCTTGCATCAACTAATTCTTAGCATGGATCATCTGCATATAACAGATATACTTTGATGGCCAACTGTTCTTCTCGGCAAGTTATCAGATAAATGTGAATGAGTAACTAGCTGCCAGCATGGATGACAAATATAGTCAACAGGTGTTATATGGAAATAATGAAGTGATTTGGAGTACTGTTCAACATAATATACATTCCTCTCCTTTTCAGCGGTCATATTTTCAGACTAATAAATTAAAAAAATACATATAAATAACAATTTGGATTGGTATATACATACAAATAGCCATGTTTATTAGTTTCCATTAAATTATATACATACTTTAGTGTGGTATGGCTACTTTTCAATACGTAAAACTTATCTCAGAGTTTGTCACTAGCCTACTCATATGCAGAATGTTATTCGTAAACTACTTGCATCTCTAGGACATGTCCACAGTCGAATAGTATTGACGACATCTTCACTTTCATCGGATAAAACGTGCCTTCTTATTCGGGACAAGCGAACGTTGTAATTCGCACATTGCAAACTCGACAAAGCACGAACGCACACAGTTAATACAGCGTCCTTTCGCGAAACTTCTATCAAGAGTGATCAAGAGATAGAGTACGAGGGTGCAGATGCTCAACCCTACGTAAAAACGGCCAGACAATTCAGAATAGAGGGTATGTTCCGAAATACAACGCAGTGTACTGTCCAATGCAAATGACGTCATGAATCGACGCTATACTGGTGATTCGTTCCAAAACATTGGACAGTATATGACGTCATACTTTTGCGCCATTTGGAAAAGTGTTGGCGATTATTTTGTCATTTTGTGCTCCAAAAATCATTATATCCTCCTAATGGATATACCATCAATTATTCTATAATTTTTTTGTATTTTAATAAATAGAAACAAATTCTGGCATGCTTCATTCGGCAAACACACAATTAAAAATTGTTTTATTATGGCCGGATATCCGACACAATATGGCAGCGACACGCTAGTACCTACAATAAAGTGTCAAATGATACGTCATTTGCATTGGACAGTACACTGCGTTGTGTTTCGGAACATACCCTCAGAGACTTTTCTACATCTGTCAAATAGCAATAAATAATTGCCATATGAATAAAAAAAATTGATGACTTAAATCATTCCTATCATTAAATCGTTAAACATTATGATTTTATACACCAATTAATGGATTCTTGGATATAATATGTAAGTATTTAATTATATACTTATATTGTTATTTCTACTTCTATATAACGAATTACCATTTCGATATTTCTGTTATATTACGTATGGCAAGTTCTAATAACATAATTGCGTTTAGTTTATGATAAAATTACGTTTATTTATTAAAAAAAATATTGATATTATAATATTATTTAAAGATATTTTTAAGGTTCAATCTTCGATTACGTCGACGCAGCAGGTGCTGTGCTGAACAAGAATTAAGTGGTGAATATCACCGTATTAAAACTGAGGATATAGCTCGTGTAATAAATGGGATTACTAGGGGTAAGTCTCCTGGTCACGACGACCTCAGTATTGAGCACTTGCAACATGCGGGTGTGCACTTGCCAAGGGTGTTAACTCTATTGTTTAACCTATGTCTAGGACATGCGTACTTACCTGGAGAGCTTATAAAAAGCGTGGTCGTACCAATATTAAAAAATAAGACTAGTGATGCCTCCGTTGGGTCCAATTATCGCCCAATATCTTTGGCTACCGTAGTTGCGAAGGTTCTGGACAGTTTGCTTGATCAGCCACTCAGCCAACACATTCACCTACATGAGGCTCAGTTTGGTTTCAGGCCGGGGCTTTCAACTGAAACTGCCATACTGCGACTCAAGCATACTGTCCAGTAATACACTACGCGAAAAACGCCGGTTTACGCGTGTTTCTTGGACCTGTCGAAGGCATTTGATCTGGTTTCGTACAACGTGCTATGGGACAAACTTAACCAGGAAACTAGCACACCCAAAAAGGTAATTAACCTCTTCAAGTATTGGTATCACAACCAAGCTAACTGTGTGAAGTGGGCTGGCTCATATTCGTCGGAGTACAGGTTGGAGTGCGGGGTGAGGCAGGGCGGCCTTAGCTCCCCCCCAACATTTTCAACCTATATATCAACGGTCTGATCGTGGAGCTCAGTGATGCCGGAGTCGGCTGCTCAATTGACGGTCATTTTGTTAATAATATAAGCTATGCCGATGACATGGTGTTGCTGAGTCCTTCGATCAGGGCCCTCGAAACGCTAGTGGGCATCTGTGAAAGGTACGCGGCGGCTCATGGTCTCAGATATAATTGTAATAAGAGTGAACTACTCGTGTTTAAGGCTGGAAATAGAAAAACTAAGTCTGTTCCTCATGTTAAACTTGGAGGAGTTACACTGAGTAGAGTCACCAAATTCAGATATCTGGGACACTGGGTCGCCGAGGACCTTTCTGACAATTTAGATGTTGAACGGGAACGTAGAGCGTTGGCAGTAAGGTGTAATATGCTTGCCCGCAGGTTTGCTAGGTGTACGAATGAAGTTAAGATAACGTTATTCAAAGCTTACTGTCAGACATTCTACACCTGCAGCCTGTGGACGAAGTGTACTCGCCAAATTCTCAATGCTCTGCGTGTTCAGTACAACAATGGATTCAGGATGTTGTTGGGACTGCCACGCTTTTTCAGCGCATCGCGTATGTTTTTTGAGGCACGCGTGGACAGTTTTGCAGCAATATTACGCAAGAGAATAGCCTCCTTAATGCGTCGCGTGCGAGACAGCACCAACGGCCTCCTAGCTTCCATATATGGAAGGCAAGATTGCCCTGTGATGAGGTACTGGAACACAGTGCGTATGGGTTCCAGACCCAATATGTTTAATAATAAATAAATAATTTTTGTGTAGTAATAATTTATGTATTTTGTGAATCTACTAACCCCTAGTTTTTAAGTTTTTAAGTGTACTAACAAAATGGGTGTACTTACCTGAATAATGAAATAAATAATAATAATAATTAATCAATCCCAAGTTCTAAAAATATAAAAATTAAATGAAAATTAATGGCTTAGTTGCCTTAATATCTGGTACAAATTCTATAACAAAACAACGAAGAAAGTAGGCGGTACTAAATCTGCCGTTTCCTAATTCATTAACGGGGAATCGAACCAGGTATTTGACTTATTTAACCTGTTAATTCAAATAAAGTTAGGCTAAATAATAATAATAATAAAGTTAGCACCCCCCCTCCCCCCGAACGGGTTCCCGCCTTGTGGTGGCGGAGGGCTTAGTAGGCGTGGCTTAGGCGTAGGGTGGCGGTGAACAAAGAGAAACCTACATGGCTGGCCCGAGGTGAAGGGCCGGCTCGAGGTGGCCACTCCGAGTGGGCTTGTCGAGCCCACTTCGGATGTTTGCTGGTGGACTGCGGCGAGAGGGTGTCCTCATCCCCTACCGCTGCAGCCGAGGTGGAGTCGCGGAGGAAGAGGAGTGTTGGTATGGCGATGCGCCACTCGCCCTATCCTTCGCGACTCAAACGGGGCCGCACCGTTTATGCGGTGGTGGTGGGGCTGCAGGGATTTGGATCAGGATTCAGGGATCAGGATTGTCGGTATTGCGAGGCACCGCTCTCCCTACCCTCCGCAGCCGAATCTTGGTTGGCGGTGGAGCCATAGACCAGATCCGCCGCTGGGGTCGGAAAGGCTAGTGCTTCTGAGTGCTCGTTTTTCCTGGCCCTATGGCCTTCGCGCATCGGACACGGGGGCGTCCGTTGCGCAGGTTTAATTGAAGGCCGTGAAGGAAAGCGCACCATGTGTTCTGGTGCGCCTTACTTGAGAAGGATAAAGGGGAGAGAGTCCTCTTCCAAGGAGGCGCCACCGTGGGGCGGCCGACGCTGGTGGGGCTGCGGATGTGTGTGAAAGCGTTCCCGTGGCCCTGCCAATATGCGACGAAGGTGGAACATCATGGGGTTTTAGTCGGTGCGAGTCCGACATAACCCGTCCTTGCCCCCGCGAGGCGGGTATGCGTAGGCATTTCCCCATGTAAAAAAAAGGTGGACACTAGCACAGTGGCAATATAGTAGGTTAAGTTGATAAGTTAGATATTTAGACAAGTGTTGTAAATTATTAGGTATTGGTACGATCGTGGGCTGCGTCGTGAGAATATTGACCCTCCTCAGCTGATTAAAGGTATTTTAGGTTCCACTGCTAGTTTTATTTTTAAGTATTTTCATTATTTTTTAATGAAATTATCGTTTCACTTAACTATACTAACGTAATATATATGTTTTACAAAAGCAGTAGGTATAAATATACTATTTATTTTTATATATTGTTAAAAGAATATTAACATGTACCTCTGCGTTAATATTTTATGCTTAGTCACATAATATGTTTAAGTTATTTTTAACAATTTTTTAACACCTAACAACTTTTATTTTTCTATTTCTCCCAGAATTGATTGATAAAGAATGGCATAAGGCATTAAGTTCGCCCTTTGTAACCCTTAGTGCGTCAATTTAATTGGAATTGACATACCATAATACCAATCAGTTTGAAGATTTCCAATATCAATCCTATTTAGGATTTTGGAGCTACCTACAACCATCGCTTTATTTTGAAGGATTTACAAAAACACTAAATCTTTGTGACCTAACAAAAAAGAAAAAAAAATAATTTATCACTTGTATTTCGTCTTTATTTTCTTCATATTTAGTTTTGTTTCCTTCATATTGCTATTGTATCTGTATGTAGGCTGTGAACAATAATAATCTTCGTTTTTTGTCCGCAATAAAACAGGTATCATATTATGAACAAAATTATATTAAGTGTAGTAGATTTAAACGGAAGATTCATCTAAAAAGGCCAAGATCTGCCTGTTTGTAGCGCGTAGATGCCGCTTCTGAAATGAAATAGGTTTATTACCTAAGTTACTTAACAAAGATATGAGTACTAAGTTTCATATGCTTTTTCTATAGGGTCTTCACATCACCTCATTTTTATTGATTGCACAATTTTTAGATGAATTACACGCTAATGAATAAAGTAACAAGTAAATAATTTTAATTACCCTCGTTTGTTCATGATTGCATTGCCCATATTGAATGCAGCACCGTTGCATGTAGAGGCCTCGGCTTCGTTGATATTTGAGCACAATCTGCCTACAAAGTGGTTTGTCAGAACACTCGATGCAAAAAATTCAGGCGCACGTCCATGCGAGCACGAGCTTGTTAAGCAACCAGGTTGTGGGTTTCTACCACCGTTGGGGTAGAAATCAGCGTCAGAGATCGCATCCATAATACCAAGAATACGGCCGTCGGTATGAATGGATTCTACATACTGCCCGTCATTACGGTTTAAAGCGTTTGAGCTACCACTCCATAGAGGTCCGGCGGGATCCAATCCTAATAACAAAATATGGGATAAGATGTTTAATTTTTTTAAGTATAATACACAAAAGTTCTTACGAGTTGATTTCGTAAGGTTACTAACGCCAACAAAGAAAGGTTTATATATAGTGCTGCGAACATTTCAAGTGATAAGTCGAAATCATGCTCTTAGGTAAGTATCTAAAATCGTACGTGAGTGCGTGTCTATAAATTGAGCATGGTTTTGACCTTACTTGAAATGTAATGTACTCTGTGTCCTACGTTTATCTTTTTTGTTGGTACTGAGTTACATTAGTGTGAGATTTGGGATAGTTAAAGTTTTTATAGATAAGGAGTGAATAATGTAAATATTTATGTATTATAATTATAATATGAGTTAAAAATACATTGATTTTTTTAATGTTTATGTTTAATCTGCAAATGTCATTGGTTAAACACATATTGGTCTGTAGTCAAACAAAGTCAAAGTTGCACAGAGTGGAGAATTTTAAATGTTGCCTACAAAATAATGTGTGTAGAGTATATGTCAAGGCAAAAAAGCGTTTATTTTTTTAACTGTTAGTTAGAAGCATAGTTAATATGCTTTCAACTAACCATTCAGTATACATAATACTGAGCGGTGATATTGAAATACAACTTCTATTTTCTACAAACTGATAAGTTCAATGAATTACTGTCGAATTTCGAACACCATGCGACCATTAGCAGGCCTCTGTCACTCTTGCTACCTGCGTGAAATAATTACCTAAAATCGCGAAGCGCCCGGGCGAAATAACGCAGTCAGGGCTAGCGCGTTGGACGCGATTCAATGTTAAAGTTTTTACGCTGTTTACGTAAATAGTTTTATATAAATACTTGTTGAAATAGTTTTTGTTTAGTGTTTAGTATATTTAATTGTAGGTAAAAATAGTTGTAAAAGTTTTAATGTATTTTAAAAATTATTATTTGATAAATTCTAATAGCAAAACGTCGTTCCTACTATAACTGTTGCGTGGATGGATACTAAATGAAATGACCAACAAAATAATTCATCATTCTTCAAGTTACCGAAGAATTTTAGAAGGAAGTTATGAAAAGGTGAATTTATTTAATTGTTTTGTTGGATATGTACTTACAGCAAAAAAGAATTAAGTAATAATTTGGTCTACAGAAGAAATACCTAAGTACTTCACCACAAAAAATAGTTAAAATTTGCTTCACTATCCAAGTATTTACTTACATACCTATACTTGTCTTTTGTAATTAAAATATTTTAAGTTATAATAACACAAAATACTGAAATTAAAACTTTGTATACTAACAAGATTTTTAACTAAGTAGAATAGATCACATTTCATTTAGGAATAGTATTTCAGATTTATTTGTTGTTTACACTATCTACCTATGTTTTCCGAACCAAGCATTGCGATTCCCGATGAATGACCTTGCAATTTGCATGCATTAGGCATCGCAGAAATCCCATAGGGGCGAAAGTATGGTCAGTCGATCATAGTCAGAATAGGTACTTCACCTAAGTAACATAATTAACATTTCGCAATGTATTTTTTTTAATTTCTATTAACATCCCTTAATAACCACGGAAAGTCCGCAGTGACTTAGGAAGCGGAAAAGATGAAAAGTAATATGGACACCAACGCGCAGCGATAAAATTTTATTTGGCTTGCGTGCGCGATTTATCTGATTAATAATAATTATGTAGGCTATTAAACATCGGCAAGCAGTCGACATCAAAGGAGTGCAACTTCTGTACGTATTACTATTATTTATTCTGTACCAGTAGTGGGTATTTAGTAAAAAAAATTATCTTTTTACTTGCGGCTTTGTTCGCATGGGTTTTTATTTAAAAACTCTTACTACCTACTAACTACTACTAAAATTATTCCGTACCAAATGGTATTCCGTACCAAAATTAGCAAAATTGGATCACTTGTATAGTCAACTCGATATATTTCTACATTGGACGTAAATGATTAAAATTCGGAAATATGCTACAGAAACACATAAGTTCAAAATAACATTAATATCATACATCTAGCGACACCTTTTTATATCAGGCATGTTTTTCGATGTGTCTTTATTAAGGTTAAATTGCCTTGGAATCAGAAACGCATTATTTACATAATATTCATTATTAAAACTTGATACAGTTTTGACAAAATAGTGTTGGATTCGATGGTCTTCATTAATACACGGCATGCATTGAATATTGATTAGCATCACACAAAGACTATATAATGTGGTTATATTCTCTATGGCATCACAAAATACATGTCAGTAAATTTTTATGTTCGAGTAGACTTCAAAATTTCATAATCGTTCGTAGGTGTCATAAGAGGTGATAGAGGAAAACAGAAACTGGAGGTCGATGGCAGCAGCGTCTTCCTGAAAATAGCGCAAAGTAATAAAAACCTGCGGTAAGCATCCCGCTGGCCAAGCATTAATACAGCGAAAATCCGGTCTATTTGGCAAAAAAATGGAGGAAGCTTTGGAACAGTGAATAGCCCTATTAAAAGTAAAAAAGTAGCAGCCTATATACATCCCACTAACTGCACAGGCCACCGCGAGTTATAGGTTAAAAAGGAGTTGATTAATTTGACTCCAACGCGGGATGACCGATTTCAAATACCTTTACTTAAAAATACTGGACTTCTCAGATATGCAGGTTTCCTTCCGTTTTTTCACCACCGAGAACTTGGTAAATTGAAACCTAAAATTGCAGTTAAAATACGAGTGGAGTCGGCGCGTATCTAAATTGGGTTGCTTACGTACCTATTACGAAATTTACTTATAGATCGGTTTGATTACCGGCTTATACAGATGATTTTCATTATTCCATCAATGTAGTTCTACTCATAGTTCAAATAAAAATAAACCCGTGTTTAAAAATTGTTTTTTTCATTTACTCATGTGAGCTATGAAACCGGGACTGTCTTAAAAATTTTAATAGTTACGTATGAAAATTTGAAAGCTATCTTAATATATGACCAACTGTTTTAAAAATCTCATTAAAAGTAAAAAAGGTTGGGTCAACGGTATCACGAACTATTCCATCAATTACGTACAAAAATCTTACAGTGCATTTAATTTTTAATTACTTATATCGGACTTGATACAAAAAGAAATTAGTGAAATATTGCTATGCCGATAGATACACAACATATTCAACAAAAAACCTTCTCTCTTAATCAAAGTTTTGTGTACATAGTTTTGTTGGTAATTTTGCCAAAATTGACATTTATGATAAATCATGGAGACAGTGGCCACTGGCCATCAGTCTATACCGGTCTGACTCTTTTTGATGCTGCAAGATTTAGTACATATTTACTAGAATTGTGTTTAACTTAACCACTTACGTACTTATTATTAGTTTATTTAGCAGTAAGTAGATCGCGCTATTATTACAATAAAACTGCGATAACCAAAACTTTACCCTCTGGTACTCAGACAAAATAAGTTGAGGTGCGACTGGAGTGGCTCTATCGCACAATACAGCCGCTAACATTTATATAATACGTAAATTTGGCATAAAGTGATGTAGAATCTATTAAAAATTCTGTTTTTATCAAATATACGCAATCAGCGCTATATTAGTGGTGTGAAATTACTGAAATTATTTTACGATATGACAATATCATCTAGAAATAGCAATGTCGTGTTTAGTTGTTAATATCGCGAAACAATCTCTATTCATTGATTTCGTCAAGTTATATCATGATACAGACAACAAAAACTTAAATTTTATGAAATACCGCCATTTCACTTTCAATAATCGACTAATTTATGATATTATGAATTCTAAGATCTGACCAATACATATATGAAAATCTTTTTATTTAAACTATAAGGATAAGAATGTTGTCTAATTGCAATTTCTATCAATTTATTTATAGATAAAAAACTAATACTTACCCATTGAAGTAATATGTACTTACGTACTGGAACAGCTATCTCAAACAAAAAATGTGCGCTACTCTGTGTTCGCGCGGTTGGTTTTTTTATCATAGAATAAACATAGGTAGAATGATCCGTAGGTAATAATAGATTATATTGTTTATATATTATATTTATAATAGATTGTATTGTTATAGGTAAATTATATCGAGAACAATATTTAAATTTTGTCATTTATTTTGTATATTATATTTGCTTATTTAATATAATATTACATAATATTATATCACAATTACATTTTAATGATATTTTATCTGAATATTTTAAAAGGTATCTATCTCAAATATAAAAAACATACTAAATGTATGTTTAACAAAACTTATTAACATAATATTTAAATTACAAATATATTTATTTAAATTAGAATACTAGAATAGAAATAAATGCTGGGAACGCGTGAGTTAAAAATGGACGAATTTATTCCACTTTGACTTTGAAGTGGAAACCTTAAAATAAAATAAAAGAATAATAAGCAGATTTAACATGAAAAATTTAGCCCAATTACAATAACTTATATATGTTTCTACAAAAAAGTGTGTATAATAATATATTCGTCCTATACTAAAGTACCCACAGAAATGTCGCATCTGAACATATTAATTTCATAATCTATATTCCCTGACACGAGATGGCGTCTTAGGAATAATTTGTTGTATTATTAATTTATAATACTTTTTTAATGATTAAATATCTTATTAACCGATGAAAAGTAATTCATTGATTTTACTGACATTTCTTGAATTATTAGTGCAATATCTAAGTACACTTACTTACTTACTTATCTTCACGCACAATCCCTAACGGGGTAGCCAGAGAGAACAGATCGCCAAGTGTCACGTTACATACCTCTTTCGCTTCTTTCATGTTCATTAACTTCTTCATACATGCACATCTAGGTATCCGAGTACTCTTGACCTTACCCTCTTTGAGTAATTTGCTCACATGGTCTTCGAAAGTTAGTCTCGGTCTACCTCGACACCTTTTAATATTTACTTTCGCGCTATATATTTTCTTCACCATTCGGTCTTCACTCATTCGCTTAACGTGCCCAAACCATCGGAGTACGCCCCTATCAATTTTTGTGGTAAGGTCATCTTTCAATCCTGCCATATTGCGAATCTCTTCGTTTCGCTTTCGGTCGGCTATGGTAACACCGGACATTTTACGAAGAGATCGCATTTCCACTGCATTTAACTTGCTTTTATGCTTCTTCTGACATACCCAGGTTTCGCTGCCATATAACAAAGTCGGTACCAACACTGCGTTATGTATTGCAAGGCGTGCACTCTTCACTACACCTTGCCTTTTGACTAACGCATTCAGGGCACCATTGACTTTGTTCCCGGCAGCGACACGCCTGTCCACATTCAAATCACATCTTCCATCCCGGCTGAAAGCACTCCCCAAGTATACAATTTCATTTACCAGCTATAGACATTCCTGATTTACCCATATTTCACATTTCGTTCTCTCTTCGTCCTTTTCAAATACCAAAACCTTAGTTTTATTAGCATTCAAACGGAGACCTTTAATTTCACATTCCTCTTTCATACACGTGACTAATGCCTGCAGTTCTGCTTCCGATGGTGCAATAAGCACTGCATCATCAGCATACATCAGACAATTAACTTTCATGTCACCCAATTTCACACCCAAACAGCTATTTTTCAGCTTCTGTAAACAGCTGTCGAGATACAGTATGAACAGCCAGGAAGACATGACACAACCCTTTTTTACGTCCGCTTGGACACTGAACATGGGTGACAGGTCATGCCCTACCCACACACAGGCTTTACAGTCATAGTAAAGTGACTGCACAGCCATTAACAATCGACCATCCACACCATATTCCGGCAACAGTTCCCAAATTTTCTTCCTTATAACCTTATCAAATGCTTTCTTCAGATCCACAAAAGCACAGAAAATCTTCTGGTTAACACTCAGAAGCTTCTCCGTGATCATGCGGAGAGAAAACATTTGATCCGTGCATCCTTTTCCAGGTCTAAATCCGCATTGTGTCTCCCATAAAAATCTTTCCGATTTCTCCTGCATCCTACGTGTCAAAACCTTCGAGTAAACTTTACTTGCTAAACTGGTCAAGCTGACTGCCCGATAGCACCCGCAGTCAAAATGTGAACCTTTACCTTTATATAAAGGCACAATGACCGCGGATCGCCACGGGTTACCTCCCGTCCGCCAGCACAAATTGCACAGCAGATGAAAAGCTGTTCCAGACGCGAGGCCCACCGTACTTGATCATTTCAGCAGTAACTCTGTCTAGTCCCGCAGCCTTACCACATTTCAAACTTTGAATCGCACGTTCAATCTCTTTCATGCTGATGACCTCAGTGTCATCGAGGTCCGTGTCTGGCGTGCCAGTCACGGCGTCACCCCCAGATCCTTCACTAAGATCATGACACGCATACATTTCTCTATAAAATTCACTCCATCGCTGCATGACGTCCGATTTTTCTGAGAGGACGTCATTGGTTCTCGAAAGCACTTTGTTCATTCTTAAGGCTGTCGCACCACTTCGGGACCTTCCAACCTCTTTCCAGAAGAGTTTGAAGTTTTCCTTAAAGTTGTGCGACAACCTTTCGTCCGCTTCTATTCTACACCTTTCACGTACTTCCTCAATCAGTGTTTTCGCATGAACTTTCTGCAGCTTATATCTTTCTTTCATCTTCTCTCTCATACGCTTATCGTTACTAGAGGCCAAGTAGTCTAACCATGCTTTTTCTTCTTTTTTACAGCTTCTCTCACTTCATCATTCCACTATGCATCTCTTCTTTTACTACTACCTCTTTTTGTCGTTCCACATACTTCTTCCGCTGCACTTACCATTCCATTCCTAAGGTTCTGCCATGTTCTCTCCACACATTCTTTCCTGCCATCGATGGTGTCAAGCTTTTCGGCTACCCTCGTGTGATATTTGTTCTTAGTATCAGCTTCCTGAAGCTTCCAGCTTCGGATGCGACAGACCGACTGTGGTTCTGTTACTGCCGTCCGGTAGCTCCAACCCGCAAACAAACCCCTAAATCTAGTAATTACTAGATAGTGATCCGTTCCCAGGTCAGCACCCCTAAACACTCGTGTATCCATCACCTGTTTTCGCTGTCGGTCATCCACCAGGAACAAATCAATAATACTTCTCTCATTCTTTCTTTCTCTAGTGTACACATGGATTTTCCTGTGATTAAACATAGTGTTTGTCACAAGAAGACCCTTTTCCTAGCATACAGCCAGTATAAGCTTGCCAGCATCATTAACCCTTTTATCGCCAAATTTTCCAAGCACCGACTCGTATCCTGGTCGAGCGATACCTACACATCCATTCGAATCACCACATACAACAGTTCTTTCGTTTCCCTTAACCAAATCTAGAACTTCTCTTACATTCTCCCAAAACTCCTCCGGCTCAACCCTGGACGACGAAGCTACCGGCGCATAAACAGCCAAAAGGAATAACTTCGTCTGTTCCTGTTTAAAGCGAACCCAGAGAAGTCTTGAGTTCACAACCTTATATTCAGTCATAAGATCGACCAACCGGGACGACAGCAGCACCCCCACTCCCTGGCAGGCGTTTTCGCTTTCCGGGACTCCGGACCATATAGCTAACGTCCCACCAGGGAGCTCTTCAGTACCACTGCCTTTCCGTTTGGTTTGGTCTCCGACGTACACACGGCATCTAATTCTCTTTCTTTCATTATTTCGATCAACTCATTCGTCTTATCTCTCATGCCCCCTCTAACATTCCACGTGCCAACTCTGTACTCCGTCCTCCACTTACCGCCGTATCGGGCTGTGCGTGACGGGTGGTGGTCCCCATCACCGCTTTGCGCGCTGCATTCCACACCAACGGGGACGAGCTGGTGTGCGGCGCCTTGGGGGGACGCCCTAACCCTCGTTTGCATGGGTGCGCAGCTGTGTAGAATTGCAGCCCTGAAAAGTGCTGGCAGGGGTCGCGACGAGCACGCTTCTACAATGACCCCCTATCTAAGTACACACGACGGCATATTCTTATCAAGAGTTTTTTTTTAAATCAACACAACACGTGACAACTCTACAAGCGCCTAGCTAGTGACTGATTAAAATGCGGTGTATGCACCGCAGTTGAGTGGAACATAGTAGCTGAATGCAGTGTCGCCTCTAGTACGTAGTACATAATAGCTCAATGTACCTACCAAAACTTTTTATAGATTAGAAATTAAATTTAGAAACATCCTTAATTTTGTGATTTTCGATAGATGTCACTATTATATATTTAAGTAGTAATTAGTTACATTAAAATTTATTTATATCTAGAAAAATGAAATAACAAAAACTAAAAATGTACATTAGAATTTTCAAATCAATTATGAATTTACTTAAATGACTGTTTAAATAAGTAAGTTTTTAATATTATTTAATTTATTAGTAACTGGAGGCAAAATGTCAAAATGTGTGTGTGTTTTTTGTATTTTACGTTAGATGGCACTCTCTTGTAAAAGTGAATACAAAAATAATATCGTCGATGTAGTTAAATTTATTATGCAAAAGTTAAAACTAATTTTAGGCTTTATTAATAAATATTTTATTTAGTTTAATAAAACATCATCGTATAAAATAGAAATTAATATCTAAAGGAAGGAAAATACTTAACTCTCCTCTTTTGAAGTTCCGTAATTGGTAAAAAATATCCTATAAGTAGCCCCGGGTCCCTAACTACCTACACAAAATTTCATAGAAACCTGTTGAGTAGTTTTTGCCAAAATTTCTTCTTCTTTGACTGACTAAAATTCTCAAAACCACTAATTTGGCTTCAGTGCCCTTTGTTTAGTCCGGGATTGTTTTCTCCAGAAAATATTAGAATTACAGACACGAATATTCTACAGATTTAATAAATGTATAGATAAGAGTGCCCTGGATAGGAAGATTGCGCAGGATTGTAGCACTAATCAGTCGCGGAGACTGAGGTGACTTCGGTCTAGGTGTTATATCTAATCCGAGCTACTTTCTTTTTTTATAATAATCTATTGATCCTAAGAATGGTATGGTATCTTGGAGTTTTGCAGTGGTAGGTTTGAATTAGAATTTTACTTTATTAACTACCTATAGTTCCCTAATGCAGCAATAGAGAACTCATTACCCTATAACTTAGCGTGGGTGTAGTAAGGGGCGACAGAGAGAAAATGAGATGGAATTTTTATAGAACTTATAAAAATTATAGAAATTTAATTTTTAATAGAAACTCAATGATAATAAAACATTACAGTTGCCAAACTAACTTAGATCTTATTTGATAAGATAATAGTAATCCGCCCAGGCTTCGTACGTGTAATTTCTGGATCTCGACAACAACGCCCCGTACCGGGTCTATGTTGTAAATGTAATCGAATCGAAACCATATAGGGACCCATCCAAACACTCCCAAAAATTAAATTAAATTCTGTCGAGCCATTTTTGAGTTTTAGCGAGACTAACGAACAGCCATTGATTTTTATATGTATATATATTTTCCAGAACGTATTCTTTCAGTTTTATATCTTTATTGGTAAATGGGGTGTAGTTCTTTATTTTTCATTAAATATCATATCACAAGAGTTTGGCTATATTTATAGTAAGCGAGTTATATAGAAAAATTTATAAGGTATTGAACTTCTGTGCTAGTGTAATAATGTGTGTGCCCAAAGCAAAATATTTAAATGTGTCATTAGCACAATTCTTTATCATTTATAATACTATTTTATTGTTTAAAATTCTCTAAAATATAAGAAGACTTAAGTAACTTAAGACACTGAAGCGGAACAAATAATTTGAGCTATATTATATCACCATCGGTTATTTTACAAATTCAAAAAATAGCTCACATAACCTACTCGTATCACTTTTACGTTTGGGTCTTATTATTAAAAAAATAAAAATTATAACTAACCTGTAACACGAGCAGGTAGTCCTACGGCAGTACGGCCAGCGTTGCCGACAACGTGTGCTCCTAAGCTGAAGCCAACCAAGTGAACATTGTTCCAATTGCCGCCAGCAGTGTTGATGAGCCATATTAAGAAGTTACCAAGGTGTCGGCCAATATTGGGAACGCTGCTAACGGCAGTAACATAGCTAGAGCTGGCAACTGCACCCCAATCAACGACAATGACGTTTGCGTCTTGAACAGCGAGGACGGTTGACGTAATAAGAGGATTCATCCCACTGTTCCCATCGTTGTTCCATCCATGAACAATAACGAAAATGGGTCGATTTCCGTTGTAGTTGGAGTTGCTGATTGTATTTGCGTTACCATGTACAATGACTTGACGGTTGATGGGGTTTGATCTGGAAAAAAATTCACCTATAATGGATAAAAATGTAGGGACGATGAAAGTAAGAGGATGTTTTCACCATTCTATTAATTGGGTGCGTCCCGTGACGTAAAATTGACACTTTTCGAGTGCCAATATTAGACGCACAAATATGGACAGATGGTACTATGAATACAGGCAATATATTTATATGGGGCCTCAGCTGGTAACTAGCCATAATGTTGTAATAGCTGGTCAGTTATTTTATGCAATACCCATATTGCACTTGTCACCGGTTCAACAAAATCGTAGATCCGGGGCTGATATTGCGTTTCGACTATTAATGTTTTGTTTTAACTACCCATATAAGAACCATGAGGAGTGTGTGGCTCTTTATGGCTATTTGCTCACTGCAGATTTCATAGCATGTGAGCAACTGGAGTTCGTTTCCCGCCGGTGGCGAAGAAGTTGTGAAATGCAAGTTCAACGCTGATTTACCGGGTGCTCGGCGGAGGAAAAAAACGTTGTAACGAAACTTGCCTGTCTGAGGAATAAAATATTTCGTGGAAACGTGCAGCGCGGCGAACTTATTGCTCTATACTCTCAGAAATGTGTTTTGCAGTGGAACGTAAAGTCTAAAACTTTAATAATGTTATTGCCGTATGGTGGCAATCCATACGATCGTATAATAAATGCACAACACTCCGTGGCTGTCGCAAGAGGTGACGATGGACGATGGAAAAGTCAGAAAGATCTTAGAGCTCCTTAATTCTAAATAATGAAATCAAATCAAAGGTGCGAGGTATTTTTGATAAACCGAAAAAAGATGAAAAAGAAAGTAAAAAAGGAAGAACATTCAATAGTTTTAGTTATAGTACCACTGTCTTGAGTAAATGTATGTATAAACAACTTCTAGTTTTTGGTGTTTATTTCATTGATATAAAGTTCCATTTGACATATCTGCAGCAGTGGATTCGAAGTTAGAATTTGAAGTTGATAAAGATAGCGAAGTGTTTACCTGTATGCACATATACATACTACTTTATAAACATTATTGGTGCCTATGTTCATTGTTACACGAACCTTGTGAACAGCCAGTATTCATTGTTTGCGCCATTTCTATTTCTTAGGAGTTCCTCGTCGACTGGTTCCTCCAAATCCACTAGGTGGGGTACGCCATCTCCGTCAGGTATCCAGACGTAGCGGCTTTCACCTTCCATGTAATGGCTATTATCCCCGGGCACAAAGGGTATTGCATTGCCAGCACATACTAGAATTGCAAAATATGGTTAAAATATTAAGTAGTTTAATTAATATTTGAATGTATCGAAAATAACGTACTACTAACGTGCTATAATAGAAATAAAAATTGCCAAACACTTCATGGCTAAGGTAAATTCAAGTGCAGTTTTGAATTTACGGGTGGTGTATATATTTAATCCTTATCTCAAATAAAAATTTGTAAAATGGCTGAGGACTAGATAATTTTAAGATCATATCGAGTAATTAATTCATAATCTTGCCATATTACTCGTGGGCTTAATTATTTTAAGGATATATTTATCTTAGCATGTATTTTGTTCGTGATTAATGACAATAGATTATATATATAATCTATTTCGCTTTTTTTTTAACTTCTTGCTAAGAAAATTGAAAATTTTCAAAAATCGGGATATTATTGATGAAGTTTTACCCCGTTTTTCGTGAAATTGTTTCGTATTGCTACCCTGACAATTTTTCGATGGTGTCTGTTTGTGTCTCTGTGTGTGTGCGTGCGTGCGTGCGTGCGTGTGTGCCAGCGTGGGTGCGTGCGTACGTGCCTGCGTGCGTGCGTGCGTGTGTGTGTGTGGATGTACGTAAACCTATTATAACTTTTGCACGGCTAGGCCGATTGAAATCTACTAAGCAGATTTCCAACGTGTTTCATCAAACTTAGATTTGCTATGAATTTTAACTAATTCGGACCGTTAGATTTTGAGAAATCTCAAAATAAAAAATTTAAAAACTGCTTTTTGGAATAACTTTTAAACGGCGTTACCGATCGATTCCAAAATCTTATTAACTTTTAACCTTGAAAAACTGTGTCAATCGCCGCCGGTGCGATGAAAATCGGTTGATTCAATCGTGAGATATCGATTGAAGAAAAATTTTGATTTGATTTTTTTTAAATTAAACCGCTATTTCAAATTCAACGTTATATTTTGGTGAAATTTGGAGCGCTTTGCATTTGAAATTAGCGGGAAGTTCCATGAATAGCCTCCAGGGTCAACGAATTTTTTCTTTTTTATTTAAAGGTTTAAGAGTTTATTTTTAATTTTCTCTGAAAAAAAAAACTACTGCAAGAGACTCCCTAATTTTAGATCCAGTTCCCAAAAAATAGGCTGCTCTAGTGGCCAAACATTTTATATGAAGCTGTTTACATTTATTCGACACTGTTTTTTGTCCGTGTCGACAAGAAATGTTGGGTGTTTTGCCAGTCCTCTACGTTCGTAAAAAAAAATCGCCGCTCACGAGCCACGCGCATCGTGAAAGGCTTGGCACGGCGCGGTGCAGGCAGACGTGGCGTGGCGTGTGTTATCCGATTAAAGTCGGTAACTTCAAAGGCGCAGTGCGGTGCTGCGCGCATGTATAAAGACGGCTTCTCACTGCGTGTGTTACGCGCCGCGCCGCCCGAGTTGATTTGTATGCGCAAGCACGCGCCACGCGCGAACCCGCGCCACCCGTTTTCACTGGCGCGGCGCGGCGCGTGCTTGCGCATACAAATCAACTCGGGCGCGGCGCGGCGCGTGATAACACACGCAGTGAGAAGCCAGCTTTACGTGGGTCATTGCACGGTAACGCGGTAACGTGGTGCGTTAGAACAACGCTGCAGCTATAATATAATTGCAGCACGAATGGGTCGGCTCGAACAGGGAAGAACCAAGCTTTCTAAGAATACCAGCATAATGCTGCTGTGTTTTTTATAGTGAGTGTAGAGAACAGGAGGTTTTACTGGTAACGAGGCAATCTACCTTAGTTCTTAGTGGTGATAACGAAATTTAAATTGAGAATAGATGTATGCGTATCAGGTAGACTGTGTGCTCGTTTGTCACCCTTATTTTATAAAAAAAAAACACTAGGGTACAATAAGCGCGTGATTCTCCTCCGGTCGAGCATGACTCGACCATTTGCAGTTTATCAAACCGATAATGGTAACTATTAATACTTTTATCGACAATATATTATTTCAATCAATTTGGTTATCATATCAATGCTAAATGCAAAATGTCTTCATATAACATGTAGTAGGTATGTACGATGAGGAGTTTGTATATTAAAAAAATGTAATGTACTCATTTATTATTTATTTTAATTTTATATAAATAATGATTTTCTTACTTTATAAAACTTAAATGACATTTTACTCAGAAGGGCCACAAACTGTCTGTTGTCAGAACATATAGACCCAGATCTGGAAACAAATATCAAATAAATTAGAAACAAAAACTACGTTGTGTTAAGCTGTGATGTACTTTGACTACTTTTCTGTAATGCTGTTAGAGTATCCAAAATATTTAATTCAACTTTTTTTTTAATTTTTTGGTTTTTTTAATTTATGAAAGAAGAATTTAGGAAGAATTGTTTAGTAGTTTTTAATACTATTATTAAACGGTCTACTGACTTTCGTTGAACGATGATAAGTAATTATATATCATGATCTTATTCACGTATTATTATATTTGAAAATACTAAAGTATTCTTTAAATGCCTTGTATTGACGGCGTAAGATAATCCACTGAACTATTCTCTACCACATATTGTGCCATGGGTGTCGTAAGAGATGGCAGAGGAAAATGGAAACAGAATATGGGCAGCAGCATTTTTCCGACTTATATGTAGTACAGTAAAAAAACTGCGGTTGGCATCCTAACTGAAAAGCGTGGCAACTACGGCAAGTTACTCCCAACATAATATGTGACAATTTACGAGGGAGGCCTTTGTTCAGCCCAGCTAAGAACACTCTCGATCGAAAACATTTCAAACGAAAAAAAAACTTAATCAACATGAGTTCAACCGTTCAGGAGCTATGATGTCACAAACAGATGCACACTACAAACATATAACTACAAATATATAAAACAACAAATAAGAAATTATTATATAACAATACTATGTTTTCGTCAGGGGTTAAAATAGCCAAGTTGAAAATTTGCTTTTTTTTTTTAAATCAGCTCAGTAGCTCACAGGTGAAATCTTTGGATGCGGAGCTGCGGACTGCGTGCTTGCAAAATGTTTATATGAGATATGGTACGTACAGACTTCCTCAAAAAAAAAAGCATGCTCAAAATGAGCATGCGCTGCAACTGTTCACATTTGCCAGCAATAAGCACTATTAAAGCATGAGACGTGCTATTTGGCACCAGACTCTCGGCCGAAATGTATGTACAAAAATATAGTGAAAGTGCTATCAAATGGCGTAAGAAGAATAGTTTCTTCTTCCCTCCAACGTGACATCGTTGAAAGTCGAATCGAAGAAAAAACTTTGCTTTCGAGGGTCGAGGGTTTTTTTATTTTAAATTGAAGCAGCAACTGTCGCGAATCGATTTGATAAAACATGCTCATAAGCAATCCTGTTCAGTTTAGACGCGCTCGGAGCACACTCTTCTACCCGCGCCTCAGGTAGCATGCTAGAAATTCAAACGTCGGTTGATTTTTGAGCATGCTCAAAATAAGCATACTCATTACTAGCAATGTTGTAACACACGTGCTACTAATGAGCAATTGCTCAATAAAAGCATACTTTCGTGCTAGTAATGAGTACGTCTGTCCGTACCTATACAAATAATTGGCCCGGGTCTGAATGTTGGTTCAGATGCGATGTATTTATGAAGAATGCCTCTACGATATCGATAATGATTATTTTATTTAAAGTCATCCTCACGGCATATGACAAGTCCATTGGTTAACATAGACCGAAAGGAATGCCACAAAGCACGGTGCTGTTCGGTTTTCCTGTGTTCATCGACTTCCTTCCTTTCTACTAGATGGAATGATGAATTGGTATAAAAATGAATACAGGAATACTTATGTATTTATTGCAAATGTTTTTCAACAGTAGTAGAGCCACGCGGCAGGTTTGCTATTGCACGTATGGACCGGCTCAAACAGGGGTGGTATCACGACCTCACAGAATACCGGCGTGAAGTGGAAGCTCAGTTTCCGCGTTTCGTCTGGTGAGTGTATGTTGCCGGTTCAAAAGAGTCATTGCCAGGGCAAAGTCAGAGCACATGGACAGAATTGGTGAGAAACTAGTTCGCCGTCCTTCTGGAACCCGTGCATTCTGGTCTCTCGCCAAGGTTGTCCAAGGGAAATTATGTCAGCCATCTCTTTCATCTCTGCACAAGGGAGGACGACTCACTGGGCCATGCCACAAAGGAAAAAGCCAAATTTCTAGGCTCTTTCTTTGCGTCCAACTCGACTCTCGATGACGGTGGGAGTATGCCGCTGACCATCCCGCGGTGTGAGTGCTCCATGCCGGAGGTGTGGTTCACACAGCGCTCGGTTCACAAAGCACTTCTCTCCCTGGACATTCACCAGTCGAGTGGGCCTGACGGTATCCCTCCAACTGTGCTGAAGACGTGATCTTCAGAGATGGCACCGGTCTTACCGCGTCTTTTCCGGTACTTCTACTGCCTAGGCGTAGTTCCAAAATCATGAAAGACGGCTTTCATCCACCCGATCCGTAAAAAAGGCGACTGCTCAGACCCGTCCAACTACAGGCCCATCGCCATCACCTCCTTGTTCTCCAAAACAATGGAGTCCATTGTAAACTGCCAGCTCATGAGGTACCTTGAGGATCACCAGCTGATTAGTGATCGCCAATATCATTTTCGTCGTGGTCGATCAGCTGGTGATCTCCTGGTCTGCCTGACTCATTGATGGGCGGCAGCAGTAGAGTCCAAGTGGGAGGCATTGGCCATTAGTTTGGACATTGCGAAGCACAAAACGCTTCTTTCGAATCTTCCTTCCTATGGACTTGCCGAGAAATTGTGCAATTACGTCACCCGCTTTCTTGAAGATCGGACCATCAAGGTCATTGTAGACGGTGCAAGCTCCGATTACAAACCTATTAATGCTGGTGTTCCACAAGGCTGCGTGCTATCACCAACACTGTTACTTCTGCACATCAATGATATGTTGCAAACCGGCAACATTTATTGTTATGCAGATGACAGCACTGGTGATGCTCTGTACACCGGTCGTGCCAATATTTCTCAGGAAAACGTGTCCGAGTACCGGGACAAACTTGTGTCTGAAGTCGAGTCTTTGCTGAACAAAGTCTCGGATTGGGGGCGACTAAATCTACTTCAGTTTAACCTTCAGAAGACACAAGTTAACCACGTTAACCGCTTAAAAGAACCACTTTGTCGTATCTCCTCAGTTTCAAGGCACTCCCCCTGTTGCCTCAGCCAGTATCGGAATCCTCGGCGTCGACATATCGAGTGACGTGCAGTTTCGTGGTCACATGGAAGAGAAGGCCAAATTGGCCTCTAAAAAGCTTGGCGTGCTCAGCAGAGCGGGACAGTATTTCATGCCGGCACATCACCAGCAACTTTACAAGGCGCATGTTCAGCCGCACATGGAATACTGTTCCCATCTCTGGGCTGGAGCTCCCCAGTACCAGCTCCTTCCAATTGACCGCATCCAGCGCAAAGCTGCTCGAATCGTCGACGACCGAGTGCTTTCCGATCGGCTCGATTCACCGGCGCTGCGAAGAGATGTTGCATCTCTTTGCGTATTTTATCGCATCTATTACGGGGAGTGCTCTGAGGAATTGCTCATATTAATCCCAGCCACCAAATTACATGAACGCACTACGCGGCAAACCTCCCGATACCATCTACACCATCTAGATGCTTGGCGGTCCACCACTGTACGTTTCACTAGCAGTTTTCTTCCGCGTACGACCTCTCTGTGGAATGCTTTATCATTAGCGATTTTTCCGGACCGATACGACCTGGGGGCCTTCAAGAAAAGAGCTTACTCCTTTCTAAAAGGCCGGCAACGCACCTGCAATTCCTCTGGTGTTGCGGATGTTCATGGGCGGCGGTAGTCACTTAAACCGTATGCTCGTTTGCCCCCTCTTCTATATAAAAAAAAACAATTTGTGGATGTTTTTTCTAGATGTTTGACATTTGATAGTTACGTAATTAATTTTCTTTAATAATTTACTTCGTTAGATTGTAATAATTATAATATTATTTTTTAGGATATTGTAAAACTATTGCACGCCATTATCATGGTAAAATGTAAAGTCTCATTTATAACTAACGACATCGTAAATCGTAATAATATGTAGGTACTTATATTTTGGCAATAAATGAATTTTAATTGAATTGAATACATACCTTCTCTTAGTCATTTTACTGTTTCCCATCTCAGACGAAATAAAAACTCAAGACAGAGCCCCGTCGAACAACGCACTGAGGCAGGTAAAACTACGCCTCGCCTTGTACATACACAGTTTCACGCACACAAATATAACGAAACTACGCCTTAGCTTCTCATTCGAGCTATTCCAGCGCACGGAGTGTCACGTTATAATAATTCGCAGTTTTTAAAGAAAAAATGCCGAATTGTGTTATGAAAGGGTGTAAAAACCAATCTTCCAGAAATAAAAAACAGGATGGAATCACATTTCATACGTAAGTATACATAAAAATCCAAAATTTTAATTAATCATTTTTATTATTTATTCTGACAGCTTGGAACATAAAACGTCGACAAATGTTGCCACTAGTGAGCGTCACAGTAGTCCCTATTTATTCGGTAATTTATTAATGTGACGCGAAACTTAATGTAATTCTATTTAATGTATTTCTATTTTACTTATAATATTTATAAAATTATTGTAAGTGTAAATACTCATATTTTTTTGGTTTTTCCAAGTTTTATCATCACTTCAAAAATCTATATTTTTAAGGTTCCCCATCCGAAATAAATACATTATCGGATATATACCAGGAAGTACAGCGCATTACTTGTCAAGGGTCATTAAGTGTCAAACGTGTCTAGCTCGCTTACAGTCGGATGAGATATTTGACTTCCATAAACTGATATCTTTAAAAGATAAAGGTGGCTAATCTTTCCGTCGAAAGACCTTTTTGAAATTTGCGTAATTTGTGAAACTGTTGTACGTAAATTATGTAATGAAAGCATAGTGATAGTTACTGAAAACCAACACAAATCGGTTATTAATATTTTAACAACTTCCCTGTCCGCGAAATAGACACAATAGTTAAACAATCGAAATGTTCATATATGACTCATGGGACAGTGAAATGGTTAGAACGATTTATTGGTACTGACAACGTTTTCTCTAAATTGAAAACTGAGCATAAAATAAGCTTAATAAGATGCATAATTGAAAAATATTTATCAATTCGTTTCCACCATATTTCTAAATTGGAAACAATTTCCAAAACGGTGGACAGTAAACGGCAATATTTCAAAAAATTGACTCAACAAAAAGGTTATTAAAATAAAAACAATGTTTCTTTCATATTACTATTGTTTTATTTTTCCCCTTCCTGGTCGAAATAAACATACTTACATACATAATAAATAAATTATTATGTATGTAAGTATGTTTACGTTTAAGAAGTAGTATGAAAGTATAATTGATAGGACCAGGCGTTACTTTGCAACCTTCCGCTAACTAATTAATTAGCGGAAGGTTGCAAAGTAACGCCTGATTCTATCAATTATACTTTCATACTACTTCTTAAAGTGAGGTAAACAATTGAAAAAATTGCCAACTTATCTTTTTACTTATCCATTCATCCTGATATACTTAGACAATAATATATTAGGGTAATAAATTTTTTACTGCACGGCAACACTCGCTTCCAGCACACATGTTTACCAAACCGACCTCACTTCTTTGTTGACAGCGCTCTGTCTTGAGTTTTTATTTCGTCTGAGTTTCCCATATTGAGCGTACTTCCAGTGCACTTATCGTTTTGTACTGCAGTTAAGTTCTTACAAAGTCGACCAATGAAATGGTCGGTCTGAACACTCGACGCAAATAGTTTAACTGAGCGACTGTGAGAGCAAGTGCTGATCCAGCTACCAGGTTGTGGATTCTTCCCACCATTGGGGTAGAAGTCTACATGGGAAAAAGGATTAAAATCCCCAAAAATTCACTATCGGTGTGAACTGATTCCACATACTTTAATGAATTCCACATACTTGAGTCAGTATTTAATCCGTTTTTATTTTGATACCACAGCGGCCCGGCGGGATCGAGGCCTGTTAGATAATACTTAATTAGTAAGAACAATTTGAATTAATTTAATGAAATATATTATGTTCCCTGCGAAGAGCTTACCTGTCACATGTGCTGGTTTTCCACGAATTGTGCGACTAGCGATTTCAACGACATGCACCCCTAGGCTAAAACCTACCAAATGAACGCGATCCCAGTCTCCACCAGCAGTTTCAACGTGCCATTTTAAAAAGTTGCCAAGATATTGGCCCACGCTCGGGAGACCGTAAGTAGCTGAAATGTAATAGGAACTTGCGAGGCTACTCCAATCAACAACAATGACATTAATGTCGAGGACCTCTAGGAAGGCAGATGTGATGAGCGGATTCATATAGGAACATTGCTGTTCAAGCCATGGACAATAACTTGTAATGGCTTGCTACCATCGTAATTTGATTTCCGTATTGTGTTTTTATCACCATGTGTGATCAACTGTGCATTGGTGGGATTACAGACACACATGACATGATCGATATGGCGAAACTATAAGGGTTTCTTGTTGTGTATGTACGAAACCCTAAAAAGTAGGTAAATTTGACCAATATGCATGAACAATGAGGCGTTTCTGGGTTTTGCATTGTTTACTTTAGAGTTAGAATGTTATTTATCATTGTTTTTTGTTTACAAAATATATTAGTTGCTCTTGGTTGATTACGTTCAAATTCACGGTATGAATGAAACCTAAGATTTTAACTTTACAATGAGCTATATGCTAAGATGAAAATAACTAAAGTTACAAAAAACTTCTGAAGTTATTTCGCATTCAAAGCCATTTGGGAACAAAACTTCAACAGATTCCCCACAAATTCCCCTCAATTTTATTTTAAGAAATGAAACAATTTTTAACTAATTTTATGAAATTTATTTTTTAACTAACATTTTTTTTCTTTTTTACCGATTTCTTTTACACTTTTCACATTTTTGTAACAAGCATTTTATTCCATGGAGTATTTTTAATTCCTTCCCTTGTTGCCATTAAAAAGTTCCACAGTATCTGCATTTACTCCGCTTTAAAATTAAAAAAGAAAGAAATTAACGGCCGGTTTTAGTGCTCGACTGACGTCGACGTCGCACTTGTCATTTATATGAAAATTCACAAGTCGTAACAATGCTCGATCGACCGAATGCACGCGTACGAGCACATTCTGTCAAGTGCGTCCGCATGCGTGCCGTCCGTCGACCGACGCGCTAGATTGGTGTAAAGACAGTATGGATGCGTTATCATCGTCAAAAAAATCGACCCTACTAGTTCAAAATTTAAATAATATTGTTTGATTTTATAGGTATTGTTACCTTTTAGTGATTTAAGTAATTTTAATCAAATATGATGAGAGTCGTGGTAGCTCAATGGTTAACGCTCGCTGTAAATATAACAGAACGAGAGTAACCCGGGTTCAATCCCCGCCGGCACCAATGAAATTGTTAATTGCAATTATAAGTGCTGATTTACCACGTGCTCAGCGGTGAAGGAAAACATCGTGAGGAAACCTGCATATCTGAGGAATAAGAAAAAAATATTTCGAAGACATGTGAAGTTCGCCAACACGCATTGGGGCAGCGCGGCGGACACTTCATTGCCCTAAAACCCTCTCAGAAATGAGGGGAGGCCTGTGCCCAGCAGTGGAACGTATACATATAGGCTGTAACTTTAACTTTTAATCAAATATGGCATATATCGACACCGAACGCCTAAGTACCGAAGTTCGTCTTCATGAACTTCTGTGGGACAAAGGGCCACATATTTCGCGCTATAATGAATATAAATTAGTAAATTCCGCTTGGAGTGCTCTTTGGGCGTCGATTGCGTATACGTGATATCTAAGTCTTTTATTCCTTATACGTTTACGAACATAGTAAACAGCAATTAAAATTTATATAAAAATATAATTAAACAATTATATTTTTATATAATTATCACCGGCGATTTTTCAGACCGATACGACCTGAGGACCTTCAAGAAAAGAGCTTACTACTTTCTAAAGGGCCGGCAACGCACCTGCAATTCCCCTGGTGTTGCGGTTGATCATGGGCGGCGGTAGTCACTTAAGGCTTCCGTCTAGCTGTGCTGTTTTACATTCCTAGTCATTAGAGGGGGCGCTCTCCCCCGTGCATAAATACGTTCGAGATCGCAGGTGAAGTTGCTCTACTTCATTAAATATATAACTTACGACAAAAGTAAAAGGAATATTTTTTTTCCAAAAATATTCCTTTTACTTTTGTCGTGATAGTATAATTTTTTACCCTTTTATATTTCATAAATGTCGTTTTTAGTCATATTTATACGAGTTGTAGGTTTAAAAAGGGTAAATACAACCGAAGGAAAAAAATACTGCTTCTTCATACAAATTTCGACTCTACGAAATGTGGTTCAGCTCCATGGTTCCAACTCCTCCCATCTAATCGGATGTATATGATTTTTTATACAGACTGAATATACAAATAGCGCTTATACCTGTTTTTTTTAAGAAAAATCGTATAGAGAAGTAATTTAGAAGGCAATCGATAAAAAATTCAAATAAAAGAATAACTGAATACACGAATATTTATTTATTTAGTTGGTTACAAGATTAAAAAAAAAGTTTTTTCGAGTGTTTTGTGTATTGTGTAGGGGTTAACTTTTTGGGGATATTTTATGCTTTTTTATTTTCTATTGCTTCTGTTATAAATGGTGGGTCTTTTATCGGCATAGAACGTTCAAGGCGCGAATCAATTAGTTCTGGTAGCAGACAACTGTGGTAAAACTTTGTCAAATGGGGCAGCATTTTTGTTTCCCAAAACTCTTTATCCCTTGCTATATATTCTACTTTCATCAGTTGATGTTCACTAGTCCAAACTGCAAACACGCAAATATTTTGTTCTGTTATATTAAGTTGACCTTGAATTTGGTAGTAATAGCTGTGGTTTTTGTTTACTTTGAATATATTTTTTGTCGTATTGCCAAAAGGTAATTTTTTTTTCTTTAATGGCGTCTTCAGGGTGCATATCTTTGGCAGCAAAAGGACATTTAACCTCCACGAAGCCTGTTTTTCCTTCTTCGTCCTTGAAAATGCCGTCAGCAGTAGCAGCCAAAAAAAAAACGTCTTGTCAACAAAAAGTCTACATTTTGAAATGTTGACTTAGCTGCAGTAATGCTTTTTCCTCATTTGCTTTTCCATATACAATACATGATATGTATGATAAGTCTTTTGAGCTAACTATTGATTTTACTAGTGGCGCACAGCTAATATTATTTTTTCTTTTACAAATTTATCCAAATATTGATGCTGTCAGTCTCTTTTTTCTTTGCTCAATCCAATCTTTACTATGGCTCTGTTGCAAAGTGTTTTTTTTTTAATATTATATCGTTCTTCTATAGATACTTCTAATTGTTTTAAAAAGTGTTGTTTTGCAACCTCAAATACTTCTTCGGACATGTCCGGACGTTGAGCGTATGTACCATAATCTGGGTCGTTCACTTTTGAAGTAGCGCGAAACTTTTTTCTACCATCCCATATTTATCATATTTTAATTACCTTAGTTTTAACTTTTCTAAAAGGCAGTCTACTGGTGGCTTTTCGTTTTCGCCCCTTTTTATTGACCTAAAATAAATATTATTATTAGCTTTTTTAAATAACAAAACTGCAAGTATTTATTTGTGTACATATATAAAAATGAATTTCAAAACAAATGCGATATTGTAGATATTAAACATGTACAAAGTTTTATGCACGATAATTAGCTAATTGCTACTCAAAAATAACTGTAAAAAATAATGTACCGAGTTTTCATTTTGGGGTTTATTTGCTACATCTTGTCCTTTTGTTTCCTTAGAACCATTAGTTGGTATTAAAATACTTTTAGAAGAATATTGAGGTTTATTCTCTTGATCACTAAAACGAAAAGTATTATATGTATTGTATATGTAGGTATTAAAGTTAATATGGCATTAACGTATATATTTTAATCATAAAAGGTAACAACAGAAAATTTTACCATGGTATAATATCATTTACTGGAGGGCAAGTGGTGCTAATATTTGACATCCGTTGACGATCGGTAGACGCAGTGGCGGTGACATTACTGAAAAGAATAAAGGTCACGTAAATGAATTACTGACAGTTCAAACAAAATAAAAATAATATTATTTTAATGAATTCTATTATAATTGAGACGGACCTTGCATTTTTCTGGGATAAATTAAACACACACGTACGTACGTATTGTTATAGTTTGTACATAGCAGAGGCTTTAATAAGTACTTTTACGCATGTAACTTAAAAATAGGCGTGTTTAACGCATACAGCTATTAATTTAAACACCAAAATAAAAAACAGTTTCCAAAATATCAAATCCTACACTTTTCATAAATGTAAAATATGTTTTACTTTTTCTTTTTTAAATACTATAAAAAATATTTGTTTTGCTGTAAATTTTGCGAGAACACAAATTTTTAGAAGACTGGGGCCTTAACATCAGGTGAGCCGCGTGCTCGTTTGCTCCCTCTTCTATAAAAAAAATCTGGATGCTTGGCGGTCCACCACTGTACGTTTCACTAGGAGTTTTCTTCCGCGTACGACCACTCTGTGGAATAGTTTACCACCGGCGATTTTTCCAGACCGATACGGCCTTGGGATCTATAAGAAAAGAGCTTACTCCTTTCTAAAGCGCCAGCAACGCACCAGCAATTCCTCTGGTGTTGCGGATGTTCATGGGTGGCGGTAGTCATTTAACATCAGGTGAACCGCATGCTCGTTTGCCCCCTCTTCTATAAAAATGCATGACTCTATCCAAGTTAAAATTTTATTTAAGTAAAGGCTTGGCAGGCTTGTATGTAAGTTTCGTACTGCTAGTAAAATTTCGTGTTTTGGGATATTTTTGGTTTTAATTGGTAGTTAGTAGGATAGACAAACCCCTTTTAAATTCTTAGATGTTTAGAACTTGGGACATAAAAGTTATAACCAGTTTTGATTTTTAAGATTATCTACATAGACCACAGACTAATATATAATATTATGTACGAGTGTTACAATTTTTTTTATTTAACTGGCTTTATGGTTTAGGGTGCTAGCCCTTCTGAGCCATTTCTTTCGCAATTTTCTTTTTTATATACTTTTTGCGTCACAGTTTTTGGGAGATTATATCAATATCAAACCACTTGTTTTGTCGTTTTCTCTAATAGTTCACACGCGCAGACAATTCACTAAAATCGCATCACTTTTACGAATCAAAATCTACTTCAAACAATTATTCAAGCAACAAAACAGGAGCGACAAATTGTCCGACAATCCGTCGACGGCCAAAACCTCTCCTACTGTACCTATGTAGATAGTTACATATAGGCATATAAACATT